CATTGAGCAGAACCAGGTCTGTTTTACTCTAAACCAGGACATAGCTCTACAATATCAGGGTAGACCATTGCTTTAGAATGACTGCCTAATAACTTCTAATTATCCTTATAAAGATAGTAATTTAGACCACAATTTTGAAAACTGAAAATTATTTCAGGGGCCAAAGGCAATAAGGACTTGCATGATTTTCGGATAAACAAGTCCAAGGTTGAAAAAACCTGCATAAATTGCAATTTTTCTCTGTTCATTCTTGGAAAAGGATTCTAACAAGGTAAATTTCTCAGGTGTTCAGAGTAAAATTTGTAGCTTTTGTTCTAATCAGATAATTAGATTCTTATGTCATGGACCTGGAGTTACAGTGGATGTGAATTTGAATGTGATCCAACAGCATGCTCTCAGTGTAGAAAAGGTGACCATGCACTTGTGCCTCATTAGAGAATTGTGTTGTGTGAGTTCTTACCCTCCCCCTGCCCTTTGTTTGTCACTAGTGGGGCTGCATCTGAACTACTGGATTTCAATTTGGGCTTTCCATTTCAAGAACGATGAGGAAAAACTAGCAAGTATCCAGAGAGAAGCTGCTAAGTTGTATAGTGACCTAGATAATATGTCTAATAGCTGCCTACAGCTATCTGCAGGAGTGTTAAAAAGGTGTTGGAGCCATAATCATCTTGCTAGGGCCAGTTCTTATGAAGGGAAGATGGCCACAAACAGTGTTTTTGGGGAGCTACAGATCAGACACTGATGGTGGGATGGGGAAAGTCTCCCAACATTTTGCTGGACCCGTTATATAGATAGCTGAATGCCCATTACAGGGGATTTTCAGACTTGTCTAAACAAAGCTATGGACAAGCTTATCTGGCACTGACAACAGTCCACTTCGAGAGGACACAGACTGGGGACCTTTTCAGTCCATTCCAGCCCATATGAAACCTGCCATTCTACAAATGGCTGTGAATCCTCTTGTGTTCAAGGCAGTGAGACAGAGTTTAGTTTTACAAGCACCTCCAGAAGCAATGAATCAGAAATCAGTAAACAGGCAAAAGTGAACTACATCTGCCTGACATGCTGTGGATCCCTGCATGCCATGAAACAGTATAAGCATAGCATCATAGCTGTAATACAGCAGCATTTAAAATCTCTGTGCATTTGTAATGAAAACTTCCTCCTTGCTAATGCAATTTTTTTTAAAAGGATGAACTAAAATTGTTTTAACTCCACTTTTCAAAGTAAAAACTATCCATGCAATGCCGTACAAATAAACCATATAGCAGAAACGGTCACAAAGATACTTTTCCATCCTTCTACAGCGGATCTTAAGGTGACCTCCCTGCATTTAAATTCCTGCAAAAAAACTCCCGGATGTAAATGTTTGGGTGAATTTGCAATCAGAAACACCTTCAATATTTCTTTTTGATCTTGAAACACTTTTAGAAAAGTTCATCTTACTCACAACATTTCTTACTACAAAATGATGCACTTTGAAACTTCATGAATTTGAGACAACTTGTGGCTCACTGCAAGAGATGGTTGCTGGGCTGTGTTATAATAGTTTTCAGTAGTGAAGAAAAGAAGGATCTGCCCTGAGCATTGAAGAACCAAAGAAGCATCAAAATGATGTCTGGCTAAATGCACAGCTGAGTGACTGTCCTGAATCTGTGGACTCAGACTGATCCACAAATGCAACTATACCCTCTGCTTGCCTGGAAAACGCTTTTTAATTCCTGAGTATTTGCTGTGGACAAAATAAGAGCTATGGAAGTGGCAAAAGCTAAAAAGGTAGAGTGGAAGCAGTATTTAATGAAGTCTTTTGTCTCATGTTCACAGGGGGCATAAGACAAGCTCTCACTCAGGAAACTAGATACTGCTGAATAACTGAGAGTGATGCCATGTTAGGAACAAAACCAGCTGTCTTTCAGTTACCTGGCATACTTAATGACCTCATTTAATCTTAAGTTTTATAGAAGAGACTGACACTGTCCTAATCTATTTGAAAGGAATACCATTTTCTGTGTCTTTAATAGTCGAGCACAGGCTTGCAGTTTCCCTTTGTGAATAGTGTGTGATCCCAAATATTCAAGAGGGCTGTCACTGCACTGAAGAAAGATACAGTTGAAGCTAAGCAAAGTAAATAAGGAGAAATGACAAGCCTAGTATGTAAAAGCCAGGCAGGCTTAAAAATAAGAATAGAATCTGCTTTCAGCACTATTGTCCAGGGACATGCCGTGAAATGAGAAGTTACCAACTGTTTATTACTTTCTAAATCTGTGCTGTTTTCTGCTATTTTATGTGGTGGTTAAATAAAAATTCTACTTTTTCCTGACTCTCCAGCAAACCAAAGTCTGGTGCTGTCAGCGTTTTTCCCACTCCACATGCTTACTACTGGAAAATGTTAAGAACACACATGCATGGTTGTGCACACTCCTGTTTTGGTGAAGATCCCTTTGCAGCAGTGCCCCTGCATGCACAGGGCTAAGGATATCCATTGCTCTGCTGAGAATAAGGTGAAAAGCATCTGAAAGTGGCCATCTGTTTGGCTGACCCAACAGGGCAGGTGGTCCTTCTCTCATCCATATGGTCACCTTTCTATTAACTAAAGGCTGGGCAGGACTCACTCCTCACTCAGGACTCACCAAACAAACTGTGCCAGAAACATTCTGGATGTCAGTGGACCAAGACATATAAACCTTACCAGCAACCTTTCTTCTTAAGACCTTTCTCATGTTTCTATTTTGAAGAAGTATTTTCAGAGCCAAGTGGTTTTTTTGTGTTTATAAGAGAGAGAGATTTGGTAGGGTGAGATTAAATGATAGACAGACTCTTGTCACAGAGAAAAGGGAACAGGAAAATGCAAAGCCCTGGGGAGTAGAGAGGGCGGAGGTGGGGCTGCAGAAAGAAACAAGAGAAGGGAAATTTCATGTTTTGTAGGTGTCTGGAGAGGTCAGGCAAGCAGTTGACTTGAACCACCGAAGTTTGGAGGTTCATCCACCAATTATTTTATCATGAAAATATAATTCTCTGTCTAAACCTCAATTAAATTACATCTCTCTAAAGAGATTTCCTTTTTGACATGTAGATTTCCCCAACACAACGTGCTGTGAACTGCAAAAGCACACATTTTTCTTACAAATGTCCTCAAAATAATTACTTATGGCAGTTTTCTACAGTTTGATTACATCATATATGCCATTTTCAAATGTGAATTTTTGTTACTGGTCAACCAAGGGTTAGATCGCACTACCTCCATCTGCTAAGGAGACGAATAGGCACGCAGACATCACTTAGGAGGCCCATGTATTTCTGTATATCTACACGCTGCTCTGAGAAAAAACAATCTGTCCTCTGATACTGTAAAAACAATAAGCATGTAGTGTGTCTAGTTCATGCAGTGGTGTTGAAAGGTATAAGCAGCACACCATTTTAGTTTCAGCTCAAACTATACTTATCACACAGAAAGCTATATCAACCATGGCCAACACGCTAGTTTGCGTTTACCCCACGGGGCCTGTAATTCATTATCATCTGATGTCCAAGAGTCTAAATGTGTTTCCTAGTCTAGTTCCAGTTTCAGGTGCCTATATCACAAAAACTGTCACTGTTCTTGGCCTCAAAATTGCATCTTTCCAGAGACTTACCAGCAGAAAGGCTGCACACATGATCACTTTTGAAAAATGGCTTCTGTTTTCATTCCTAAAGGCAGCTTATGCAGGTACAACACTGAGACTTTTTAAGACTAAAAAATCTTCCTGCCTGGAAGATTTCTTCACTATGTACAGCTTAGGCTCAATTTCTAGAGTGGATCCTTTTTTCTTTATTTTCATGTGTTTATTTTCATGTGTTTAGTTTTTAGAAAAAAAAATATTGCAAAATATATAGAAAGAAATTCACTCCCCATGCAAATTAAGCATCTGTACATTACAGAAGTAATAAAACTAATATTGTGTTATTGTCTTCTATTTTATACAGGGAGAAGAGCTTACTTAGGTGACTATTTACTTTTCATTTTATATGGGAAACTGGTACAGGACTACAAGAGAAAAGAAAAAACAACTCTGAGAGAAAAAACAGGGCTTCAGTCTAATTGTGATGTGGAATATATCACAATTGCACAAGATGAGGTGAAAGGACCATTTAAACTCATATTCTGCCCCTGGCTGTAGGTAATGACAGCTGCATAGGAAAACATACAGTAATACTTCTATGGGATACTCTCTCTGCCTTTAAATATCACTAGCTCTGGGACTGCTTGAGTTGTCCAGTCACCATCCAGAGTTGACCATTTCACCATTCAGAGCTGACCATCTCGCCACCCAGAGATGACTGAGGTGTATAGAGGTATAGAAAATCCTGTAACCATGCAAGTTTATATACCTCTATACTTCTCAGCCATCTTCCTTCCAACCTGCAAAATCTTTTATCATAAAAAGTTCTCCCTTACTTTTTGTCACCCTTTTCTCTACTTTTACAAATTCCACTGTATTCTTTATGAAACCAAGTGGACAAGAACTGTACACAATTTTAAGGAAATGTGGGTACCAAAGACCTATGCTGAACTTGAAGATCCATGACAAATAAGTTTGAACTTATCAGAAAAAAAATTCAGCTATTTGTGTTGAATAGTACTCTAAAATAAAACTTGATTACCTCTGTTCACCATTATTTGCTTTCATGCTCACCAGTTTAGACAGTAGAACTACTCCCAAAAATATGCAGACTTTATTGCCTATTTAAATTCATAGTATCTTTGATATAAATGCAATTATAAAATGACAAAAGCAAAATGTTACTCACTTGTATTTATCTTCTGAAGTGAAATGTGCTTTTCCAGCTGTCTGCGAAGTTTCACCTCTGCTCCATATTTACCAGTAGTGCCATTGTCAGCCAAAATAAAATGAGAATGCATGCTGTTGAGCACTGTCAACTTACTCATGGGATTGGACATTGTCTGGTATGGTCGAACCACCTGCATTGTAGAGACAGATATAAAAAAGAAGTACTAAACAGAAAAGACCCTCTGAACTAAATCAGTTATATAATACCAGCTGACAAGATGTTACAAAAGAAAAAATCAGTATTGCTTGAAGTATTGTACTTGAGCACTGCTGCCTTCTTTATGTAAAGTAGAAACTAACTTTAGCACTTAAACCAGTGTGGCCACCTCTTGTAAACACTGACCTTTTAGATGCAGACACTGCTTAATGGGTTTTCCATGGTAATCTGTCTCAGCAGTATCCCTGGTCACTGTCTCAGTACATACAGCTAATGGTCCGTCTTCCAAAGGTCTAGGTGGTGGTACACACACACTTACACCCTGTCTGGTGCTGTCTTTCAACAGCCTTGCTGTAAATCTTCACCTCCAATGAAATCTCTGATTCTTCCTTCACAGATCCCACCCAGCACCACACCCCCTCTCTAGGTCATTCAGAGCCACCAGCACCAGAGGTCCTCTGCAGACACACCAATGCAGGTGAGTTCCACTCTTGGAGAGGTGAACACACGGCTCATTCTCAGCACAGCACAAAGGCAGTTGCTTGTGTTCACAACAGCTTTAGGAAGTTTCCATTCAATGTGGAGTTTGCTACACTTCTTTTGATTTGTTTTCAACAGGAGAAACTCTTCTGCAGACAAAAAGAGTAAATTTTTGCAGAGTTATCCCATTCATAGCCTCTGAATAGACCAAATAATAGCACTAGGTCACATCTGGCTGTCAGCTGCTTAGGTGGTCCTCCAGTGATGCAAGTTAAACTGCACTGATGTGGCCAAAAAAAATGGTCATTAAGGGATCCTGAGTGGCTGACCATTCAAAGGCATTTGCTAGAAATATTGTTCCCTGCATCATTTGCATACATCTTGTCTTTTTTGGAAAATTTGTAAAATTAGCTGAAGAAATGTTGAAGTGACTTGCTATGTAACGTAACTCAGCTGGGCTACACTTCATCTGCAACAGATTTTCTTCACAGCCTGGAATTGGTCATTTTGCAAATCTAACAAAATCTTGTATTTTTTAATACACAAGTGTACACCCAAGTTTTGACAGAAATGTTTGCAGACTTGTTAATTTCTTCCTAAGCTTCTCTCCCTTTTTCATATTCTAAAGAGCTCTCTAATTGAGACATAATTGTTTATAAATAATTTGTGTTAGTAATTCTTTGGCCAGAGATCTCCTTCTCTCTTGTTTTCACTTGAAAATGCTTGCAGCACTTTGTTCAGCTCTTGGGTGGCATCGGGAAACACAAAAACGCCTTTTACTGTTATGAACTGTCAAACAGAGGGTTCTCTGTAAGCTGTTCATCCTGCAAAAGGGAGGACATAGGTCTGAGAAGACCAAGAAGGCAGCTGGCCAACAGGAAGGCAGTGCACTGCCTGGTCAGAACAGGTGATAACTTGGCTAAAGTTTCTTCTATACTACTTATTTTGGTGCCTCCTTCTTAGAACATTTATTCTACAGGTGCATATAGGTTAACAAGTATCAATAAGCTGCTGGAACACATTCATTAACTGCTTCTACAGACACAGAAACCCCACATCCTGTGCCACAGTCAGAAAGAAAAAGAAGATTCTTTCTCCCTAAGAAATCCCAAGAATCAAATAAAATCAAACTAAAGCAGTCACAAATCTTTTTAAACTGATACAGGCCCCATCTCTCAGTATATAGAGGGCACAGGCCAGCAAGATCTGATAGAAGGGGAATGACGAGATGTTC